CCTCCAGAATTGTGAGATAATACCTTTGTGTTTTTTTAAGCCACCCAGCCTATGACTCTTTGGAAACGAAGACACCCCTCCACCAGTTCCCTAGATCTAACTATCTAGCTGCAGTTGTCCATGTGTCTCACTGGGTTGCCCTTGAGTGCCACTTCCCACCTGGGCAACCTATAACCTCGCATCTAGACATGGTCAAGCCTCTGAAAATTTGCCCACAGAGCTGAGCTGGAGTGTTTCAATGTTTTGAGTTTCAAAGCACAGCAAGCTTCTTCAAAACATCAGCATCCTGGCTGGGAAGAAACAAGCCTCAAACTTTGCTGAGATTCGAGACTGGAGCATGTGATGCGACCAACTGCAGGATGGAATGTCAAGAGGCCACGAGGGGATGTGTCCAGCCAGCTTCCGGTTCATCGAATTAAGAGGGCTGAAACATTAGGTATGAAGTGGTCTCCCCGATTTCCATCGTCCAGTGTTTCAGCCAGCGCCTTTGTAAGGCTGCCCCCTGTGAGGGACTGTGAGATCTCATGTGGCTGGAGTGAAGGTCATTGGCTGCTTCACGTGGCTGTGGGTGGAATCGTGGGGGCGAGCCAAGGGCGGGTCTCACGGGCAGGAAGCCATCTTTGGCTCTCAAGCACCCAGCGCTTTCCCTCCACAGTGCTTATCGCAGTTTGTAATTGCATATTTATGTGATTAATTTATTTTGTCTGGACAGAGCCTTGTCTGTTTTGCCAAAAAACCCCAGGAGGATGGGGATTACAATGTTTTTGCTCCCAGTTGTATCTGCAGTGCACAGCACAGTGCCTAGCTGACAAGAGGCACTTAATAAATATCTACTAAATGGAAGTGAGACGTAATATAGGTTAACTTCAGGACACTTAGGCACCCTGCTCATGCTGGCTCAAATCCCTTAGAAGAAACTTCCTCTCTTTTCATATATAACTCCACCTCCCTTAGGGTTCAATTGATGGAAGTTCTTTCCCTTGTATCTTTACATAGAGGACTTTAGCTACCGACTCATGGAACATTCCCCCCTACTCTATTTATCTTTTTTTTTTTTTTAAAGGTAGTCAACTTTCTTCTATCCCTAAAGGAAATCTTTTTCTTTAACTTGTTTTATTCAAGGAGAAGCAGACGGGTTTCTGGAGTTCCTGCCCTGCTGGGAAAAAGCAACACATTTAAAATACATTTTTGGAGACAGGTCTCACTATGTTACCTAAGCTGGTCTTGAACTCCTGGGCTCAAGCGATCCTCCTGTCCCAGCCTCCTAAGTAGCTGGAACTACGGGCAAGTACCACTATGCTCCCCAGAGGAAATCCTATGTGGAATTCTAATCCAAAATGGAAAACTGATTGAAAATGGAGTCCCTCTGAGTGCAGTGCTGGGGGGAGGGGGTCATGCAGAGAACCCTTCCAAGCCTTTCCTTTGGTTGTTCCTGAGTCATCTCCCACAAGCCCCTAGAGAGTTCTTGGTTTGAAAAATCCCACTCTGGGAATCTCAGCTGGGGAATCTGACCTCTGAGTCCCAAACTCAGTGGTACCTGGGCCTTCAGACCCATTTGTGCTTGGACCACACCCAGACCCCAGGAGGTCGTCAACCTAGAATGTAGATTCCAGCTCAAGAGAAACGTGCCGCTCCATCTCCTTGTATTCATCTGGGAAAAAGACGACTTATTGGACAGAACCGGGTGTCAGGACAAAACACAGTTGAGCCACATAAGAAAAATAACTTTGTTATTAAGCATATACAATCATATCAAAGAACTTCATAGTATCACACCCGTAGCTGTTTGAATACCAGTTTGACTGTTATATGGATCTGTTATAAATAATGAACAACAGAGCTTCTGTAGCATATGACTAGTCACTGAAAAATAAAAACAGACTCAGGACACACATGAAATACCTCAGGGCCCTTGGTTTGGGAATCTAATAAAGGATGCTGAGATCCCTGGGGGTAAGCAAAAGGGTCATTTTCTATAATTTCCCTAAATCAGTGGTATTTGCTGAAGGAGCATATGAAGTCCAAGATTTTATGTTTTAACAATTCCGGTCGTTTTGTGTGTGTTTTGTTTTTCAAATGGAAAATTATTTTTTGATTTGTTGTGAAACATACACGCTGACTGTGCCAGGAAAAATTTCATCTATTTCCCTGGATTCGTCATTAATAATTTCAGATGGCTTTATTCTACTAGTTGTTTGGCTCAGAGTCTCACAAATAACTTTCCTTCTCAGGAAGGTTATCTGAAGATGTTAAGTTTGCAGAATGAGGCTGCTGGGGCTGTCTCTGTGGGACAGACAGGGATGAGGGGAGAGAAAGAGGGAAGTGATAACCAAAATATGATGGGGAAACTGTTGTCTAAAAAACCAAGGTGAGGCCTGGAGAAGCCTTCCCTCCCTCACATGGCTGGAAATAGGGCTCACGAGGTGCATGGTAGTTATGAACCTTGGAAAGGGAGCATGACCAGAACCAGAGTGCTCTTCAACTGGTATTTGGTGGGGTAATACTCCCATCTCCCTCTCTCAACACCAGTGAGCAGTTATCATTTACCTGTTGGGTCATGGACACACCTGTCTGAGTTTATATGGTGGAAATGACTCTGTTTGGTCAATGAATACTAGGACAGGTGTTAAGAGCTAACTCAAGAGGAGAGAAAAGGCAGCATTCCCTCAGTATCCCCACTCTGTTTTGGCAGAGTAAAGCTTATAATTTCTCCCTCTGGAACTGGGAAGGGAGGAGGATTTTCCTAAACTCAAATGCACACTTTCTGTGTATTATTTTCAACAGCAGACTTTTATGCTTATTGCTTTCCAAAAACAGAAACAACTTATGATGAGGGGGCAAAATATTAAACTCCACATTTCTACTAATGGGTTAAGGAAGTGTGAGCAATCTTTTTTCCCATGGAACATGAAGTGACTTAGTAAAATGGTAGCAAATCTTACCCCCAACATGGCTTTCCCATTACATTTACAGCAGGAGTCCTGTTTAGATAGTGAAGCTTTAGTTTTCTATCCAAAACTAAAAGATACATTAGAAATAACAATGCCTTCTGATGTTTGATCTTTGAAAAATATAATTTGGGTATGCAGAGTACATATTTGTCTTGCCGTAGCCCAAGTGTTGAAAATCTGAAAATGAAAAATTATTTTCTAGATTTACCTAGTCGACAGGTTGACATGATAAAATACAGGTTACTGTGCGTTTTGCTAGCGAATATTATCTAGAATATTCTCATGAAGCCCAGATAGTCCTACTTTCCACGCATTCTTTTAATATATTATCCTAGCCTACAGCCAAACACATAGTTTGGTTGCATTTTATGAGCGTTTGACAATAAAGGTCACATTTCTAAGCATAGTTTGCTTTCAAGAAAAAGAAGGGATAATAAAATTCCTCTTAAAAAAAAACAACAAAGATGGACCTGATCATCTCTCCTAGAGCCTACGTCTAGTTTTCTTTTTAAAACTCATCCATCCATCCACACCCTCTAAATACTGTGCTCCACAAGCAGGCAAACATGAAATATATTCCAGATGGGAATCAACAGCTGCTCAGTTCATCTCTTCATAAACCCGTGGTTGGTGTGGTCTGTGATCGTTGTCAAATTCTGGAGGGAGTGAAAGGGAGAGAGGCTGCTAAGGAAAGAAACAAGGGCAAGGCACTTGCTTTCACTGTTAAATGTTAGTGTGCAGTCCCTGGGGATTTTGCATAAGTAAGAAACAGTGGAGCAGGCTAGGCTCAGTGGCTCAGCCTGTCATCCCAGCACTTTGGAAGGCCGAGGCGAATGGATTGCCTGAGCCCGTGGGTTCGAGAGCAGCCCGGGCAACTTGGTGAGACCGCGTCTCTACAATAAATCAAAATATTAGCTGGGTGTGGTAGCACGTGCCTGTAGTTTCGGCTACTTGGAAAGCTGAGGTGGAAGCATTGCTGGAGCCCAGCAGGTCGAGGCTGGGATGGCCATGAGCATGCCACGGCACTCCAGCCTGGGTGATGGAGTAAGACTCCAATTCAAAAGAAAAAGAAAAAAAGAAATAGTGAAGCAATGTGTTCATGAAAGACTCTGCCACCCACTGCCTGTCCTGGGCCTGCCACATTTATTTAACAAATCACCTGCAATTTATAGAGCGAGCCTACTCTTTTGATCAAATAGCTTTAAAATATCCTGGCAAACCAGAAGCCCATTATTTAGATGTGAATCAGGGTATTTCATTCCCTTACTATTATTTGAAAAAAGGATTTATTCCTTCAGTGAGAACAATTTTCTTCTCTGAATAGAATTCTTCTAGATAGGTATGGCATAAATTCTTAAGCACCATATTTGAATTTTAGAATGTGGCAATCTATATGACAATAAATATATGACAGCAATTCTTATCTATCTTCTCTAATCTCCACTCTCTAAGTCTCTCCTCTCTTAAGCAAAGTTGATAAACAAGATTGAATAAGAGGATAGAATACTTTAAATCTATTAGATGGGACAAGGAAAAATAATTATTCACCAAGGTAAATCTACATGGTTGTTCTCCCCACATCTTTTTAATTGGAGAGCCCTACTTTTGATAGAGGAGTAATAACCTATTTTGAACACACATCTATTTTTTTAGACGTAGCTTCATATTCTCTTAAAGCTCATCTGTCATTCTTCTCTTGATATTCTGTCAAATTTTAAGACACTGTGAGAGTATTTAACTCAGAAATCCAGAAGTTTTTGAAAAACATAGGACGTAAAAAAGTCCCAGTGCAAACCCACTCCAATGGACTCTCAATGGGAAACATGTAAGTCAGTCAATCCCTCCCTCATGTCTTAACAGGGGACTCTGAAAATAGTCTTTGGAAGAGGAGTAGGGAGAAGGCAGAAAAGAGAAAAAAGAGAAAAGAAAACCAAAAAAAATGTATCTTTTCTAGGTCTCCAGTGGCATTTCTTTTCCTCTTTAGACGATATAACTGCAGGTGAAAATACTCTTCTTTCTCTTCCGTTGGCACAAAGATGTTGCGATAGGCTATGGATAAACGTCTGTGGGGGCCCCGAAATCTCCTGCCTCAGTTCTTCTTGGGTGGTCATCTCCAGAGCCCAAGTCCATGGTTTCTGGGTAGCTGGAAAATTCCTGAGGTAAAGGGAACTCCTCTGCTGAAGAGTGAGTCCGGTGCCCGAACACCTTTTCCTGCAGCTCCGTGATGTCATTGCGGATGTCAGCCAACATAAGTAGCAAGAAGTCAAAAGAACCGGGGGGTCCCTGCAGGCACATAGGAGGAATCAAAGCTAGAATATGCCAGACAGCGCCAGCGCCCATGGGCTCTGTGATTTGCTCATTCTGCTGCATGCTGGCAACTGCTTTCTCAATAACTCTGTGCCCAAATGGAGGAAATGTAAGTACTACTGTAGGAGCCTAGGGGATTCCCCATAGAGTCCTCCAATGCCCCCTTCTTATAGATGAGCTCTGGAGACACATTCACCTCTCCTCTTTCCTAATTCAAAACCAGAGCAAATCTCGTATAAGAAAGCAAAGGAGAATGACTCTCCTAGTTACTTTTCAAAGGAACCTATGAAGGCAGTAGAGTGGTGTTGAAGGAGTGGGGATTCTGTCGGGTTTGAATCTCATCTCTCCCATCTTCTAGCTGTGTGGGCGTGGACAAGTCACCTAATTTCTTTGGGTCTCAGTTTCCCCATGTGTAGAGTACTGATGAAAGTCCTAACTTCCTAGGAGTGCATAGGGTTCATAAGTGAGTAGTCAAGTGAGTTAATACATGTAAAAAACTTAGAACATGTGTTCACAAATGTTATATGCCCTTTAAAAAATGTAATTATTAAGATATTTATAAGATGGTTGATTTTAAGTGCAAAATCAATGAAGTTGAATATGCCATAAAGACATCAGTTTCTCATTGACCAGGAAAGTCCAAACAAAAACTTCCTAATTTTTCTATTTATTGAAAATCCTTTATTGTCATATGAGGGGGACCCAAAAAACCCGGATTTATAAAAAATTGTGTATTTAGTCTTACATGTTTAAACTTCAGTTACCTTCACAGTACTCTTTGTATGACGAAATACACTGATTGATATGATTTTTCCATGGCTCAAAACAGTTTTTGAACTTGTCCATTTTGATGCCTTTTATTGCTTCTGCTGTTTTTTGTTCCACCTTTTCCCACATCAGCAAAATGCTTCCCTTTGAGGACTTTTTTCATTCAGGGAAACAAACAAACAAAAAAGTCACTTGGGGTGAGACTTTGTGAATAGGGAGGGTGGGGAACGGAGATCATGATGTTTTGGTCAAAAACTGCTGAAAACTCAGTGCTGTGTGGGCAGGTGCATCGTTATGGTGGAAGAACCAGTCACCTGTTTGTCACAACTCAAGACATTTCTTCTGCAGTGCAGTTCCTCACAACAATGCTAGCTGGTACACTAATGCCGATAGGTTCCTCGAACACTTATCTAGCAGGGGAAGCCTGTACTCTACGGGGCCCACCCTCTAAAAAGATAATTCTGGTTTTTTGGGTCCCTCTCATATGGTATTTGTTAAGTTTTAATTTCCATGTAGTGCTGCGTAGGGCACAGTTAAAAAAAAAGCATAAACATGCATGTTCTGGGCCTATCAGAAGCTTGTAGTCAAGTTATTATTAACCTCCCCATCTCATAATGTCTGCTGTTGCCACTACCACCTTAAAAGCAGCAGCTGACACTATAAAGGACTTACAGAGGTGTAGCATTTTGATATCATTTGACCTTCACCATAATCACTTGAGGTATGGCGGATCAGACTTCACCATGGCCACCGCACAGGTGGGGAAATGAATTCCCAGCGATGCTAAGTGAAGTGCCCATGGTCAGAAAGCTAACAGGTGGAAGAGTTGAGACAGGAACCCACACCTCCTACCTCTGTGGCCATGGCTCTTGGTCTTTCTTCCAAGACGACACTGACTTCCTCAGAAACAGTGAAGTGCTTTGAATTTTCTGTGCTTCTGGATACGACTAAATTTCATTTTTAATCTCCCAGATACTAGGCCTATGGAAACTAATTTCTTCTCGGGTCCCAAGCAGCCCTGCATGTCTTTGTACTTTTGAGGGAAGCTAGAGCTGTAGCAGTGGCTAAACTCGCAAGTGTTCAGAGTTATCACATACCCCATAGATTTATTTCATAATCTTTTCAGATGTTTTATGGCATACTTGGAAACAGACTCAGGACATAGCGGGGCTGTGAACTTTAACAAAAGACATTCCAAATAGAGATTAGCCATGAGAAAAAAAAAAAAAAAGATAATGAATTTAAAAACCAATTCCAAACCAGCTGCCAAAGGCTTCTGTGACTCTCTCCCTAACCACAGAATTCTGTTCAGGCAGCTGAGTGATGGTTAGAAGGGGGTGGGTTTGCTACTGAGAACCTTCCCTTGGGGAAGCAGGACCCACAGGGCTACTTACCGGAGACCCCTTGGGCCCAGGTGCTCCTCTTTCCCCCTAAAAACAGAAAGGCCAGGGTTAGCTTTCTGGACCACACAGATGCCACCACCATAGTCTCTGTTTGCATACCCACCGCAACCATCTCCCGGCACAAATCAACAAATATTTTCTATAGAAAACATATGTAAGATTGAAGCTGGACTCAAGGGACCGCTTATTTGAACAGAACTGCTTGGGTCAAGTGTCTCTCATTCCAGTTTCCCTTGAGGCCATATATTTTCCAACCAAATCTGACAGGAGGAATGTTTGCGTTTCCAGGCAGTGTGTGGAATTCCAGAAACTTTCTGAAGGAACTCACACTGCCGACTTTATGAGGCAGAGAGCGGGCAGCCCTCGAAGTGAAACCATCCGCTTGTACAGAAGGGGCATCTCCTGTTCTTGCCTTGAACATCTCGTGTTAATGCGAACACACACAAAATAAACCCATAAAACAATTCTGGTTAAAGAGAAAAACATATGTGACGACCGCAACACAGAGGCTCATTTAAAGTTTACAGGAGTCGTTTTTCCTAGGAGTGGTTCTGGTGGTTGTTTTAGTTTTTAGGGCTGGTTTCACACTTTAGGAAAACGGCTTTAGATTTTGTTCTCAGCTTTGGGGAAAAATACATCTGTGTCTCAATTTTGCCAAGTGTGAAGTGGGGACATTAAGCCCTCCCGCCGAGTGGGGACATAAAACCCCACCGCCGAGCTTTTCTAGGTGCCTATTCAGTAGGTAGAGGGTGCGAGACTTTTGGTTTGTAATGGCCACTGATAAGACTTACTTTGGAACCATCTCTTCCTGGTGCCCCCGGCGGACCCTACAAGACAGAAGGATCCGGCTTAACAGAAGGAAAAGCGTGGGACAAGAACACGGTCTCCCCCACAACAGGAGGTCATCTCTGGCAGGATACTGACCACAGGGCCTCTCCGGCCTTGCTTCACGTGGGACACATCAGGAGATGGTCCCATGGGTCCCATTGAGCCCCGCGGGCCAGGCTGTCCAGGAGGACCTGGCATACCAGGGAATCCTGGGCTCCCCTTTGGTCCCGGTGAACCTGCAATAAAAGAACACCTCATTAACTGACAGCCAGTAGGAAGGACAAAACGTCCTGGCTGAGAGGAGTCTAGGGCCCCCGAAGCCATTTCTCTGTATACTTTGACTTCTCCACTAAGATTGTCTCACAGGCATTTTAAGCATCACATGATCAAAGTGATTTCTCCATCTTCCTCTCTCTTCATGAACCACCAGCCACTCATTCCCTTGAGTCAGAGATTTGAGAGTATTCCTCTATATTTCCCTATTTCTACAACCTCCTTATTCGATCAGTGGTCCCCTTCTATGTGTTTCACTTCTTTAACATCTCATAACTGTTAGGTCCTCTCTTTTCCTGCCACCACAGCAGGGAAGTGGTTCTCACAGCTGGAGAACAGTTAAAAGTACAGGCTTTAGCATCAGAGGAACTTAGGTTGCACTCTTAGACAAGTTGCTTGAGCAGTGTAAGCCTTATTTTTTTAGCTGTAAAGTTGGACTAATAAAGATCTTCCTCATAGAGTAATTGTGTGTGTTTTTTTAAGAGACAGGGTCTTGCACTCTTACCTAGCCTGGAGTACAGTATCATGATCATAGCTCACTGCAGCCTTGAACTCTTGAGCTCAAGAGATCCCCCTGTCTTAGCCTCCCAAGTAGCTAGGACTACAGCTGTATGCTACCATACCTAGCTAATTTTTATTTTTTTGTAGAGATGGGGTCTTGCTATGCTGTCCAGGCTGGTCTTGAGCACCTGGTTTCAAGAGATCTTCCCACCTTGGCCTCCCAAAGTGCTGGGATTACAGGAATGAGCTATGGTGCCTGGCCTAAAGTGGTTGTATTAGATGAGATTTCAGATACACACACACACTGTTAGGTCTTCTTTATATTTGTCTCAACTCTTGTCTCTTTGCTAGTCTCTCTGCCCATCCTCCCCTGGTTACCCTTCATCCATTCTTCATGCTGCTATGTGAATAATATATCAAAAATAAGTTTTACTTTGTAACTTCTCTACTTTTAACACTTTGGTGTGAAAGTCTCGAGTCTAGCAGGGCCTTTCTTGGAGGGCAGACTATGGATGCACCTGGGATTCGAAGCTAAGCAGGGTCGCTGCGGTTTAGCGTAGCCGGGCTCAGTGGCTCAGCCTGTCATCCCGTGCCTTTGGGAGGCTGAGGTGAGTGGATTGCCTGAGCCCGTGGGTTTGAGACCCATCTGGGCAGGCAAGACCTCATCTCTACAATAAATCAAAAAATTAACCGGGTGTGGTAGCGTGCGCCTATAGTTCCAGCTACTCGGAAGGCTGAGGTGGAAGGATCGTCGGAGCCCAGCAGGTCGAGGCTGTGGTGGCCGGGAGCGGCCATTGCACTCCAGTCTGGGCGACAGAGTGAGATTCCAACTCAAAAAACCCCCCCGAAAACAAAAAAAACCCATGAAAGTCTCGGGTCACTGGAGTCAGCAAATTCTCTCTCTTGTAGGCCCCAGACAAAAATCCACAAATATATGGGAGAGGGGTTGGAAATGTCCTCATGTTCAAGATCAGCCACATATACAAGGCATGCATGGGGTGGGTGTGTGTGGTGGAGATCTCATCCCAAGGTGTAGGTGCATAGGTCATGCTTTGGATTGCACCTGGAGCAGGAGAATTGAAAATGCTCCCTATCCCCACAACTCTGGCAGGGAATAATAAATAACAGAAATCTACCACTGGGAAAAGGGCAATATTTTGGAAAGAGAAACCCTCTGTAGCACAGTACGTAAGGGGTGCCAACAGCTGTAGTGGAGTACAAATGCTGAGAAAAACCCACTGGTACCCTAGGCCCCTACTAATCATAAGGTAACAGTATCCCACCACTGAAAAAATTTGAAGACAGTGAAACACTGTATTGACAATAAAACCCAAATGCAGCTCAGTGATTTGCTAGCTTGACTCACTTCCTATGCTTGTGGCTCAACCAGAGCAGAAGGTATGCGTTTCCAAGATACATTAGTTTGTACCTCTGTCTCTACTGTTCCTCTGCAAACGATGTCTGACATTAACCCAAAGGGCACATAAAAAGGCAAAAGCAACACAAATTTAAAAAACCATCGCAAGAGACAGAGCAATCAGTAGAACCAGACTCAGAGGTGACCCAGATGTTGCTATTATCAAACAGGAACTTTAAAATAGCACTGACTAATATGTTAAAGGTGCTGGTAGAAAAGATAAACAGCCTGCCTGAATAGATGGGAATTTCAGCAGAGAGAAGGAAATTAGAGGGAAAAAAGTAATATGGAAACAAAAAAACACAACATTGCAGATCAAAGTATTGTTTTTTTGATAGGCTAATCAGCAGACTGGTGACACTTGAGGAAAAAAATCAGTGAACTTCAGGATAAGTCAGTAATCATCCAAAATGAAACATGGGCAACCCCCTTGGGTCCCCTCCCATTGTGGGAGCTTTTCTGTCCTCTCAATAAATTCTGCTTTCAAAAAAAAAAGAAACACAAAGAGGAAAATAAAAAGTAAAACAGGGCATCCAAAAGAGTTGGGGCAATATAGAACAGCGCAACATGAAAGTAATTGGAGTATGAAGAGAAGAAAACCCTACAATGCCTCTCCCTTGCATATAGAATAAAGTTCAGACTCTTCAGCATAATATCCCAGTTAGTTCTTGTCTTCCTCTCCAGGTACCTTTTTTTCACAATTGCCTTCTTCCTAATCACTTTGCAGTCCTGATTCTCCCTGAATTAACCATGCCATAGTGCACTGCCGGGGCTGGACTACTCTCCTCTCCTTTTCTGCTTTGTCTCCTTCCCCACAGAATTATCACAGACCACTCATCTCCAAAAACGTCACAACATCCCCTCCATAAAAGAATTAACTGTTATTACTTCATTGTACACCGTACTATATCTATCGTATAATGTGAGTATATGTGAATGTGTATATATATGTATATATACACTCTCTGCATGTGTATATGTATTATTTATGCATGCCATTTTCTTCTAAGGATTTCTAGTATTTAAAAATTGGGGCAACCCCCTCAGGTGCCCTCTCACCATGGGAGCATTTCTGTCCTCTCAATAAATCCTACTTTAAAAAAAAGAAGAAAAAAATCGGGAGACTCCATGTAAAAATCTGGATTTCTGACCTTGACTTGAAACAGGAAACACTAAACCCTGGACCACAATTCCGCCACTGGCCAACTGACTGAAGCTTTATGTAGGGACTGCTCCTTCGGATGAAAGGATGTGTTCTTGAGTTTAGTCCAGATCTCTCTCTTCCTATCACTCCACCCAGCTCCCTTCACTATCTATGCTATCTGCTTTTCTCAGATGTGGATGTTGAGGTGTTCTTTAAAAAATTATTTTCAGAGGCCTAAATATACATAGCACTCAGAGTATATGGTGTTTAAGAGCAAGCTACATGGCTATTTTTGCATCTGCCTCATAATAATAGTTTGCGTGACAGAATTTGGTCATCTCATCTTATCATGGAAGCTGATGAGGAAGAGACTTTTAGACCTCATCTATGTTGAACTACAGCACAAAGCACTGCATACAGCCAGTATGGATGAGGACCTCACACACACTAGAAGTAAAAAGCAAGGAGAACACTGGATTGGAATTTCTCTGTGCAAAGGCTGGGTCCACTGTAAAAGCACATTCATCCTCAATCACTCTCCGTTCCATCAAGGACCCTGGACAGCTCAAACCACACTGGAAACCAGACGGTGGACTTGGAGAAGAAAGCTAGAAAGTCATTTACTAAGAAAAGACAGTCAATGGCTCCCCTGCTCCTACTATTGTTTTTATTCTGGTGATATATGGACTGACCTGGAGATGACATCCTCCAGGAAAGCAAAGCAAGAGCATTCTCTCAGAGGAGAGTGGTGAACACTGTGCTGGGAACCAGTTTGTAAGGAGAGTCTCTTTAGAGGCATCTGCTGGAGAAAACTCCACCGTGAACCACAGTGCCTAGGGTAAGGGAATGAATGAACCCTGGGCCAGTTCTTAATTTTCTGAATAGACTGAGATGGTCACACACACAGGTATTTGAGGAAAACCAAGAGAAAAGTGGAGAGAAAATATTCAAATTCTTTTGGAAGAACTCTGCCTTTGTTCTTGTTGATGATCCAGCAAAAACAAACAACAACCAAAACAAACAAACAAAAAACCAAGCAAAACCTCCTCCGCAAAAACAAAAACAACAAAAAATACCCCCCCAAACAACCTGCCGCATGTCCTTCCTATTTGGACATATTTCACCAGTTTTCCATGTTCCGTTCAACCACTAACCCCCATTTGCGTTTGCTTGATGTGTCTTGTTTTCCCAATGAGAATGTCAAGGGGTCATTCATAGCATCTAGCACATGACCAGCAATGGCAACCAGGGATAAGATGCTCAATGGTTCAGAACTACTTGCGAACACTAATGTCATTTCTTCTACTGGCGTGAAAAAAATCTACTGATCTGTCTATGGAGAGACTCGAAATGGGAAACATCTTGTAATTTTTAAAAGTTCTCACTGTATATTTCCTAGGACATTTGAGATTTTCTTCAAATAAATAAGGATGAATCTTCAAATCAGTATGGTAAATGAAAGAAGCCAGAGACAGAGAAAACATGAAAAGCTTCCATTGATACATAGTTCTAGAACAGGTACAATGGAAGTGGCTGAAAACAGGTCAGTGGCTGCCTAGAGTTGGAAGTGGGAAGGTGAAATAACTGCAAGTGGACACAAGTCAACTTTCTAGGGGTGAAAAAAATGTCCTGTATCTTGATATAGGTATAGGGTAGAGGTTATAAAGGTGGCTACACCTGCCCAAACTAATAGAACTACACTTTAAATGGGTACCTTTTATTATATATAATTTGTATCTCAATAAAGTTGACTTATAAAATTATGTAGCTTAGATAGAAAAATAAATATAGATATAAACATGTCAACAAATAATAAGGGAAGGTGGAAAGCAGTGGACACGAGGCTGGCCCTGAGTGGTTCGAACTGGACAATGCGCCCAGAGAGGTTCGTGATACTGTCCTATTTCTGTATGTTAATATTTTTTCCAGAATACAGTTAAAAAAACCAGTTTTCATTTTCTTTCTCTGTAAGTTAAAATGATCTTCAGGAATCCTCACCAACCCCAGGACAATGACCTTTTTCTTCCAAGCTGCTATTGGTTGTGAGGGTTTCTCAGGTGTGAGGGTCCAGTTTCCCAAGGCCCTCTTGTTGCACGGCTTTGCGACAGCTCTCTGGACACCTGCTTTGGTTCTTCTCGATGGAAGCTGGAGAACACGGTCCAGTCTCCACTAAATATGAGCTTTTGGCAGGTCGTGGCTGGCGACTCTACCACCCTCACCCTTGGGTGTCCCTCTCCACACTTACCGGGAGGGCCCTGGCCCCCAGGCAGGCCAGGAGGTCCTGGAAGGTAGGCGTTTGAGGCCAGCACCTTGTCGCCGGTGATATACTTGCCCAGGTCAGCGGCATTATTGGGAAGCAGGGCAATCTGCAAAGAGAAGAGGAAACCTCAGTCAGGAAGCCATGGCGCCACCGCAGAGGCTATCCCTGGCATTTGCGTTTTAGCCTCTGTAGAGGCTACACAGGCTTTTTCTGCTTGATACATACACACATGCACACACACACACATCTCCAAAGCTAGTTAGGGCTCAAAGGGAAAAGAAAAACCTTGTTTCTAAAACTAGAGGCCTTCTAGTGAAAACAGCTTGCATGAGATCACTCAGCTAGTTAGTAGGCCAAACTGGATAAGCTCCAGGTGGCTTAGACATCACTGGAACTCACTGTTGCCATAATTAATAGGATCTACCTGTTTAGAGCTCTCAATTTGCTAACTACTTTACATCTCAAACATTTACTGCATAGCTACTACAGTCCAGGCCCTGTGCTTAGTTCTGTGGCTACAGTGTGTCTAAGACATGGTCCCTGCCCTAAAAGAACTCTGAGCCTTGGGAGCCAGGACCAATAATGTGACTGACTGTTCCCCCTACTCTCTCAGGGCTGACATTCAGTACAATTGGGCCACAGTGATTGTGGTGGTTGTAAAATTCAGTCTCTTTGACATGCCTCTCTTCAGAGGTAGAGGCGAATTTCTCATCTCGAGTGTGGGCTGAACTCAGCCACTTGCTTCTCCTGAGTAGAATGTGGCGGAAGTGATGGTGTGTAACTTCTGGGACAAGGACAAGGGGCATGGAGGTTCCAACTTGCTCACCTTTGGGCCTCTCGTTTTAGGGGGAAGCCTAAAATGAATGACCTTTGTACTTTTTGATATCAGGTAAACCGTGTGAATCTGTGACAACTTTGGTAAGAACCAAATGGTTTGAATGCTACAATTCTGCTTCCTCACAGACCAAAGAGAACAAGGACACCTCCCTGCAGGACTGTGAAGATGAAGTGAGGGAAAGTATGTGGTGTGCCCGGCATAGCCCGGATGACACTAAATTCCTGATAAACGGTAGTTCTAGTCTCTTTCCTCCCACAAGCTAATTCAGGGGTATAAGATCAAGTGAGGAGGGTATGCTTCTGAGGTGGTGCTACCCCCAGAGGACTTACTCTGCATCCTAGAGTTCTGAAGAAACCAGGCATCTCTGCCATTTTCTGAAGTGTGTTGCATTTTCCCCTCCTGGACAAGGCCTGCTTGGAAAACCTCTGGCCTGAGAGCATTGTGGTCTCAGAGAAGGCACCGGCAGCTTCCATCCTTACCCTTAGATTGCTCCAGTGCCCTAAATCCATCTTGGGATCTTAGCTTTCAAGAGAGGTACTTCTTAAACATGCCCAATCAGGGATGGCCAACTGCCACTGTGAAACCATTGTGTCCTGTGGAGTTTGACACCAGCACAGAGCACTACATTAATTCTTAAAAATCTTTTGACTTGGGAGGTCTCAAATTTTGTATTTCAGGCCGGAGTGCAGTAGTATGATCATGGTTCACTGCAGCCTTGACCTCCTTGGGCTCAAGTGATCTTTCTGTCTTGGCCTCCTGAGTAGCTGGGACTACAGGCACGTACCACCCCACCTGGCTAATTTTTTTGTGGAGATGAGATATTGCTAGTTTGCTTAGGCAATCCTCTTGCCTTGACCTCCCAAAGTGCTGGGATTACAGCATGAACCACCACTCATGGCCAAAAAATTGTGCAAATTTCTTCCTGGGGCTTTTATCAACTCTTGAGTTACAATTTTTTGGAGGAAGAAGCATACGATTGAGGGTTAATTTGAACAGCCATGGATTTCCTACCTTTATGGGAAAGTCAGCACTTACTAACTTTCATTTCCTTGTCACAGAGATGACAGACTCCCAGTCAAGTTCCGATGCAGCATGGTAAGGGACACACAACGAGGCTACACAAATAACCCCAGAAATTTCAGGGCCTGCACATGTCTTTTTTTTTTTAGTTGGAGTCTCACTCTGTCGCCCAGACTGGAGTGCAGTGGCCGCTTCCGGCCACCGCAGCCTCGACTTGCTGGCTTCTGGTGATCCTTCGCCTCAGCCTTCCGAGTAGTTGGAACTACAGGAGTGCACTACCACGCCCGGCTAATTTTTTGATTTATTGTAAAGATGAGGTCTTGCCAAGTTGCCCGGGTGGGTCTCCAACCCGCAGGCTCGGGCAATCCACTCACCTCAGCATCCTAAAGCGCAGGATTACAGGCTGAGTCACTGAGCCTGGCTTGCACATGTCTTAAATATGAAAGAAACTCTGTCAGGGATGGGCTGACTGGCTCAATAGTAACATAGCAGGGCAATGGAGTAAAGGATGACCATGAGGTCTTAACTCTCCCAAGCCTAGGCCTGAGGGGATCATACAGGAGGTTACATAATATATCCACTGAACTATAGCCAAGATCCCAGGCTACACAACCACAGGAAGCCTTGGGAAGGTTTTGCTGTCCAAGATGAACTCCCAGCCTCTGAGAGTTCTCTGTCTCCTCTACTAGTGTCTGTTTCTGAACTTGGGGCTTTGGCAATGACTTTGTTCAACACTCCCGTTATGGAACGTGAGTCTGATGAAGACATCTGGCAAAGATCCCGTTCTCCTTCTGGGTGGTTCCTGGGTTGGGGGCCCTCTCGATACAGCTTTAGGAGCTGATGATTTGTCTTACTCACAGAGACAGATATCCTTGCCAGGGAAGAAATCTAATATCAAGGAAAAGTGAATATTGTGGTAATATATGGTTTTCACTTTGGTACAGAAGCTTTACCTGATACACCTTATGGAGAACAAATTCTTCTGGCTCCCTTGTGGGTGACTGCCCTAGTACCCCATTCACCCTTTAATGAGGCTCTTGAGATTTTTCTACGATGGAGAATCATGGGAATGTGCAAGAGGGCTTGGCTGTATCCCTCCTGCCTAGTGTGGAGAACGAGTCGAATTGTGAGTCTGATGGGGTTGTTCCCTGTCCTCCCACTCGGTCTTCCTTATGCACCTGCAGAGTAGAGGTTGGGCTCTCCTATGGTCCAGGGATCCTATTCCCAATTCTGCTTCCTGAGATGTCCAGTGTAAGCCCCTAGTCTCTTCCTCAGAGGGTGTTTCTTCCTACTTGGAGTTCTAGCTGAAATCAAACCCTACTGAAATCCACTTAGTTCAGGGCGCAAGGATGCTCAGAAGGGCAGAAAACACAAAGAGGCTCTAACACTGTCTTCCAAAGGGTTCCCCTCCCCACTATCCTTAGGATTTCTGAGGGTGCACACCCAGAAAGCCTAGGAGCCCGTTAACTAGTACTAAAATCCTTGGGTAAGGACAGCCTTGAAGGTCTATGAGCTAAGAGATTCCTGACCATCCATTGCCTGTTGAACATAAGATCTTCCCCACACTTGGAGAAGACCCAGTGTTTTCTGAAAGATACAAGGAATGGCGCCCTGCTGGGGATGTCACCGGTTCGTTCCTGTGACTGCTACTCAGGATCCTGAAGGGGTGATCATAAGAATCAAAATCCTGTGCAACCTGAAAGTCAGTTGTGCACAATTCCAAGCCATGGCTCATGGTTCAGTGCTACCACTGGGACATAGCTGTGTTCGTGGGGTTTATTTAAAATGGTGCTGACGTCCCTATGTCACAGCAAAAGATCGCCCCAACCTGCGAATGGGTACCCATGGCCCTGGGGTGGAAGGGGAGTGAACCAATAAGAAAAACTTCCAACAATGGGACAGTGGATCAATATTGGCCACTGCAGCCTGTCCAAATGTGGATCCCACCCACAGCTTTGCATTAGGCAGGTGTACATCTAAATCTCAGGCCTGCTACCTTCTGCCCGTGGGGTCCTGGGGAGGCTGCATAATCTGGATTTCCTCATCTGTAAAACAGGGATTGTGATAGCCACCTAACAGGGCTGCAGCAGGGTAAAAGTGATGATGATATCATCGTCTTTAACATGCCTGGCCCAGTGTCCAGATGTTGTCATGGATACAGCAGAAATTCTCTGCCTGGATTTGTCCCAAAACAGCTGTGTGACGTGATAAGTCCCTTCACCCTTCTAGGTTTTCCTCTTCCTGTCCACAAGCCTAGAGGTTCAGACCAGATGAAGACATCTTTGTAATTAAATTTTTGCAGGCAGGACCACAGGATGAAATTTGCACGTAAATGGGCTTTAGAGATGCTCCCCAGTGCCCTCCCCGTCCGGTTTGTTCCCTTGTAAAAGTTAGGAGGTGAGCCTTGTAAAATTGACCTCTGTGCCCTGGCTGACCTTCTGCTGGGTCAGTGCTTCCCAATTCCCCTGAGTGCCTCTGCATCAGCAGGAAGAGTGGGAAGTGACACAATGGCTTCACTTTCTACATAGATGCAGCAGAGGATGGGCTGCTGAATGCCAGGGGTTTGGGAAGAAGGCTGTAGTAATGTAGGGAGAGTCGGCCCTTCTACTGGATTCCAGCCAATGGAATTATGGGTATCCATCATCTCATATTGGCCTTCGTAATAGATCACCTGCCTCAGAGGCCTGTTGGGATGAATTAGGATGACACTCTCTGTAAAGCACTTTGCAAGGCGTGCTAATGATTAATGTTAGTCATTTATTAGGTAAGCATTTACAAGCTCTTTCTAGGTGGCAGGCACGGTTCTCGGTCCTTTATAAATATTAACTCATTTGATCGGCATGAACACCCTATGCAGTGGGTATGATCCTTGTCTTTTTCATAGAACTGAGGCACAGAGAGGTTAAGTAACTTACCCAGTTACTTACTTGCACAGCCAGCAAGTAGTGGGATTAGAATTTAAACTTACTCAGTCTGTTTCTAGAATCTGTGCTCTTAAACATTACACCAAGCAGCCAAGTTCATTACTATGATACTTGGCAAAGCAATCTTTAATCAAAAAGCAAGCTTTAATGAAAAAGCAAGAATTAATCAAAAAGCAAGCTTTAATTAAAGCCTTAATACGAACTGTTCTTCCCAAAGATCCCGAGAAGAACCATTTTATAGAGTAAATAGATCAAAGTAGCAGAGGAAGCCACAAATAATTAAGAAGGCGTATACTCAAAAAACAAAACAAAACAAAAAACCCTTTTGGAAAACAACTTGAAAGCACCTGTCAAGACGCTGCAATACTCTTAAACATTTTCTTCTTTTGCCTCTTCTATGCTTTCTAAATTTCCTATGTAGTATTACTATCCTAGTGGAAATATGCTAAAATAGTAAAAAAAAAATAAAATAAAATAAAAAGAAGCCATATACTCATATGGTTGGCGACAAAGGTGGTACTACAGGGAACAAGTGCAGCCCATCCATTGGGCTGCAGATCAGCTCAGTGTTGGAACCACATGGTCCTTCTTTACAGCTGCATAATATTCCATCCTGTAGATGCAGCAAATTGGATGGAGTTGGTGACAATCATACTTAGTGGTCTATCACGGAAGCAAAGCATACCACGCATACCACATTCTCACTCACAAGTGGGACCTGAACATTAATTACAATAGCACAAGGGAGGAGTGGCCAGTCCCAGGACACTGCCGGGGTGTGGAGGGGTGTGAGGGTGTTGGGGAGGGGACATGTAACAACACAGAGAGTACCTGGTCCTAAACCAGGGGGAGTGAGGACCAGTTAGAGGCCCACACTTCACCTGTGTGTAGATTACTTACGTATCTATTTTTTTTTTTTTTGAGTTGGAGTCTCGCTCTGTCACCCACACTGGAGGGCAGTGGCTGCTGCTGGCCACCACAGCCTCGACCTGCTGGGCTCCGGCGATCCTTCCGCCTCAGCCTTCTAAGTAGTTGGAACTACAGGCACGCGCTACCACGCCCGGCTGATTTTTGATTTATTGTAGAGATGAGGTCTCACCAAGTTGCCCAGGTGGGTCTTGAACTCGTGGGCTCAGGCAATCCGCTCACCTCAGCCTCCGAAGCGCGGGATTACAGGCTGAGCCACCGAGCCCGGCTTACTTACATATCTAATCCTGACTTGCACCCCATATCTCCATAAGAAAATAAAGTTAAAAAAAATGTTAAAAGACATTGAAGAAAGAAAACAAAAAATAAAATAAAATAAAATAAGGAACCACATCATTCTCTAACTTCTCAAGTTTGACTATCAGCTGGCTCCATGTGTTCCCCGCTTGCTGACTTACGCTTGGCTTCCCTATAAGACGGTGAGTTTATTTACAGCAGGATCTGCGCTCTACTGCTTTGTAATTTTTATTTCCCAGCCAAGGCAGGGTACAGTGGGTGCCTGATAAACACTTCCTGGATCACCATTCACACTTCTGTCAACAGCTCACTCTGGGGAGAGATTGCTGGTGTAAGAGCAGAGAGACCCCTGTCTCCAGGCAGCCGAGGCAGCTGAACACACCCGTCAACCTCAGACCTGCCTCTCTTTCTGGAGTCCTCCTTCCCCTGGGACTCTCTGCAGCAAGCCCACTCTCCAGTCAAGTAGTCCCTGCAACCAGAACTCAGGTGATTTCTAAAATAATCAATAGGCCTTACCCCTGAGTTTTCTTCAGTGTTTGCACGGGACCGAGAGCCATCTGACAGTTAAATAACAGCTATTTTTTCTTCCCCAAACTCCCTCTTTCTCGCCACATGACCTCTTCTCCTGCACCGCAGAACAAATGGTGGAGGTAGGGGCACTGAGGTTTGCTTACCATTTTAAAAGACTTTTTATTGGGAAAAAAAGCACAGAATCCAAAAGCCTCATACAGCAAATACATATCTTAACCAATTACCAGAAAGCAAGCATCCTCTTAATGAATTCCCAAGTCAACACAGAGAACTTTGCCAACCATGCCACTCCTCCGTGCCCCCTCCCAATCCATCTCTTTCCTCTTCCTAAAAGTCACCACTACCTGACTTTTATATTAATCACTTCCTGCGTTTAGAAAAATAATTTATCACCTAGATGCCATGGTTTTGTTTTTCCCCTTTAAAAAGTGACAGGTCTTTTAAGTTTCTCGTCTTCTGCAGGTGGCCAGAACCCAGGGCATTTGCTCACTGGCATTTCCCACAGTTGGAATTTTGTTGACTGTACATGCATGCTGCAGTTCAACATGTTTGCACATCATTTTTTGCTATGGGCTTGGCCATGGTCCAGGACTCCTGGCACCTACCTCTTGGCTAATGTTGATTTGGGCAGACGTTTTACTTTCTTTTGTAAACAGATGGAATTAACAGCAGTAAAACCACATGAAACATTAACAGACAGTCCAAACACTGGCACAGAAGACAAGAAGATAAAGTTTTAGTTCTGCCCTCTTGGGCAGTTATCTCATCTCTCTGTGAACATCAGTATCTTTCTCACAGTGTTATAGTGACAATTAAATGAGGTTCTGGATGCAAAACTGCTTCATAAACTGCAGAATGTGACACATTCTAATGGATGCCTTTAGAAATGCGTTCTCCCTCCTAATGTTCCTCGAATGGTAGCATTAGTTCTGAACTGCCACAAGGCATTTGTAGAAATAATTTGGTAAAAGATGGACCAATTCCAGTCCTACCCAACTGCATGAAAGTTATTGGAGTACCAAGCAACCTCATGGATTTGTATGTAACTCTACATAAGGGTCTTTGAGCGTGACAAATATTTTGACACAAGTATTTCAACTTTTAATCTTTTTTTTTTCTTTCATGCATCACAAAAAGCATTGCATGGAGGAACCTTAACCTCTGTGATTCAGCAGCAGAGGTACCTCGTGCATTTCTTTTTTTTTTTCTTGAGTTGGAGTCTCACTCTTTGTCGTCCAGGCTGGAGTGCAATGGCACACTCATGGCCACTGCAGCCTCGGCCTGCTGGGCTCAGGTGATCCTTCTGCCTCAGCTGTCCAAGTAGCTGGAACTACAGATGCATGCCACCACACCCAGCTAATTTTTGTGATTTGTTGTAGAGACGAAGTCTCACCACATTTCCCAGGCTGGTCTTGAACCCCCAGGCTCAGGTGATCCTCTGGCCTTGGCCTCCCAAAGTATTGGGATTACAAGTTGAGCCACCACGCCCGACCAAGAGCAGAATTTCTGAGCAACTTGTGATTTAGTTCCTCTGTCCCTAAAGATAACCCTGGCTGGAAATGACTTCTCCACAACTCATGGATTATTTCCAGGGTAGGGGAGTGAGGGTGGCCTTATGCTTTGAGAAGTATGCTTGAGACGGTCAGTTGCCTGCTCCAAGCCTGAATCTTCTAGCCTATGAAAGGCAAAATTAGACTTCCTCCTCAAACCTTTCTCTGGGTTTGTTCAATAAACACTGATATCAATATAAGCTCAACCTGGGAATATCTGGGTGGGATATATTTATTTCTATCTTTGTGTTTACACTGATATACATACAAGGTTTCTGACTGGATCCTAGGCTATTTAGGGCTAGAGCCATGTTTTATTCACGATTATACAACAAATACATACATGTCTCTGCTAAAGTTGATCACATCTTCAACAACGTACAAAGGGTCTGCAAAACCACTTCTCATCTCAGTCTGTTGATTTGCTTGCTTAACTGGTAGCTATGGTTTTCATTAGGGGTTGGCTGCACGCTTGTTGAACACGGAAAAGAGATATTGTCTTGTGCTTACTCTCCTGCCCTTTAGCATAACGGGATGCCAAAGTTCAACAGAGTAGATACACTTCTTTGATGTACTAAGAGCCTTGAGTAGAAGCAATTAAATAAACAAGCAGAGAAGCTTATGTTTTATCAGCAAAAGAGCAATTTCTGAGTCAATGATGGACTAGAAAATTGACTGACCTTAAGTGTCATAAATACCGTCTAGCTGGGTCTATGGGTCTAGGATAGCTGTTCAGGAAGTCAGGCTGCCTGATCTATCCAGGGGCATTACTCACAGCATAACGACATTACGGGAGATCTGATATTTCATCAGCCACTTGTGCAGCCTTTTATGAAGTGTGGCAGTCCTCACCCTTGGTGACACGAGGTACCCAAAATGTTGCTTTCCTAGGTGCCTGGAGCTCAGACAAGGCACAGGCTATCATTTCCAAATGTGAGTACCACATCCTCTCACTCATAAGTGGACCCTGAACACCTATCATAATACTTCAAGTGGTAGGACACTGCGGGAGGTAGGGGTGGGGGGAAGAGAGACAAATAACATCAATAAGGGTGCCTGATCCTAGTTCAAAGTGAGGTCCAGTGGGAGGCTCAAACTTCACCTGTACATATGTAAATCATTTATGTACCCAATCCTGACTTGTACCTCCTATCTCTAAAATAAAATAAAACAAGAAGCTGTTGCAGCAATTAATCACCAGCTTATGTAAGTATACAGAGATGATATCCTCTATAAACAAAATACAACACTAGGTAAAACAGAATCACACAGGTCTGCAAGGACCATGCACCTGGACGTTCATTTGAGAAGTTGCAATAGTCACAGCTCACCATCTCCAAGGCTTCACCACGTGTCCCTCCCCTAGTATCTATTTGGACAGTCACCTCCTCAATCCCTTGCTATCACTGTGTTTTGCTGCCCTTTCGATGGTCGGCCCTGAGGGTGCATGGGCAAAGCACCCCGAGTCCTAACCTCCCGGGCATCAATAGCCATGAATGAGCAATGTCGGTGATGATTTATTTTTATCGCCCCCAAGCTTTCTTCCCGCTTGACCTCGGCCAAGCTCTCCTGCCATCAGGCGACACGGTTCCTACCTTCTGCTTCAGCTGGAGCACGGTCTGTTTCATCTGGCGGAACTCCTTGCACGTGGCGCAGCAGGTTCCGGCTGTCACCGCGTTCTCAGACTTCTCCTCGTGGCCTGAGAAGAGAGTCCGGTTCAATCCCATCTGGGAGGCCGGACGCAAGTCAGACCCAGAGGGACAGCATCAGGCAGGCGGTCCCAGGGGGAGGCATGGCTGATGGTGGACGTGGCGGGCAGTTGCCGGCAGGGCCCGGGACGGAAGGAGAGGAGGCAGAGGGAGAGGGTACCCTGCCACATGTCGGGTTCAGCTGTTCCTATTTAGACATCCCAGGAAGACATGGGCCTTCCTCATTCAAGTGTGAAAATGTATACCAGGGCCCTTTTATCAGTGCCTTTCCAGGAGGCAGGCTCTATAAATCTGTCATGATCTACATTCCCCTCTAAGGGCCAATGCTCACACGCTATAAATATCCCCCAAGCTCAGGCAATGGGCCTCCCAAAGCCGGTCTTTTATCACCTCTGCTAATCCAGGTTCTTCAAAGGGAACACAGCCACGGGCTTGCACATGAGGTCAGGCACTCTGCACACCCCCACCTGGGGCCAACTGGGACGGCCACGGGGAAGGGGTCCCAAAGCCCTCTTGTAGTGTATTGGGCATTTCATGGGTTTTTACATAAAATCTGAATTTTTTAATTTTCCTCAAGGAAACACAGGGAAGTAGATGCTGATGTGTCCGAGAATTCAGACAGTTCTTATCTTCCTGGCACTGAAATGGGCTGTGGAAGGCTGCAAGCTACAGTGATCAGTCACTGAGGTCATTTTTCTACTGAGGGCTCTAAGAAGACTACCACGGTCTATGGAAAAGGTGGCAGAGGTGTGGACTAGAAGTGTGAGAGGGAGGGTGTGCTTTCTCTTGGGGTGGGCAGGACAGTTGGACACCTAGGGAAATGCCAACTCTCCTAGCTTAGAAGTCCTTCAAGGTCAGGCCAGGCTTGCTATTTATGTGACAGGTAATAACAACTACTGTCTTCCATGCAGACTGACAGTCGGGTAATGTGTCTACTGTCTCTTGTGCCTCCCAGTCCACATACTTTCCTCCTGTTTCTCTCTTCCAAAGCCCTCTCTTTCCTCTCCACTTGGTGAATCCCACCAAAACTCAGATCAAGTGCTCCAGGAAGCTCACTCTTTCTACCCACAGAGATACTGCATCCTCTGAAATCTGGCAGTATTCGTGTGTGTTCCACTCACAGGTCGGGTCTTCTAGGCTTTCTCCGAGGCGGGGCTCTTTGCACACATGCCACCTACAAACTGGACTCTTTTTTTGGGCATGTCACACAGGGATGCTTAAAAGGTGTTCGTGATATGGATTGTTATGGGTTGAATCGTGTCCTCCCGAAGTGAACATGTTGACGTTCTAACCTCTCGTGACTTACAATGCAATTTTGCTCGGAAATAGGATCACCGCAGATCCTAAAATTAGTTAAGATAAAGTTATACTGGAGTATGATTGGCATCCTTACACAAAGGGCAAACCGGGACAAGCACAGGTAGAACGTCGTGTGAAGAGGCCGGTGGAGACCAGGGTGATGTGATGGAAACCAGGCACAACAAAGACAGTCGGTGAACAATCAGATACCAAAGGAAAGGCATGGCATACCCTTCATAGCCCTTAGAAGGGACCAACCCCCCGATACCGTGATCTTGGACCTCCCGCCTCGTAAGAACTGAGGCGAATGTCTGTTGATGAAGCCACGCCATTTGTGGTATTTTGCTTTGGCAGTCCTAGAAAACTGTGAATGCACTAGTGGATGGGTGGCGCGTGGGGAGCCCCACACCTAGGTGAGCATTCCTTACACAGTCCAGCTGATGAGTCCTTTGCCTGTCGATGTATGTGGCGACCACTGCGCTTCCGCTTTTCGGGAGGTGAGCAGGCCTGAGGCAGTTTGGTAGCTGGGCTCTCAGGCTATTCACCTTCAGGAGCAGAGTAGTGAGCAGTGTCAGAACTCACCTGCTGCACCCTTGGGGGGCCAGAGGCTGGGAGCACAAGGGCCAGGCACACATTTCTCAAGCCAGCAGGTTGAAGTGGGTGAAGCAGTTCTCTCTCTAGTTGCATTGCCACGAGTGACAGTGTCATTCTTGAATATATGGTGTCAACCTATAACTTAAGGCAGGTTTTTGTTTTTTTCCTTCAGAAACAGGGTATCACTCTATTACCCAGGCTGGAGTGCAAAGGCAAGATCATAGCTCACTACAGCCTTGAAATCCTGGGCTCGTCATCCTTCTACCTCAGCCTCTTGAGAAGTTGGAACTATGAGCATGGGCCATCAAGTCCGGATAATTATTTTTTTTTTATGAGATGGGGGTCTTACCATGATTCTCAGTCCGGTCTTGAACTCCTGGACTCAGGCAATCCTCTTGCCTTAGGCTCCCAAAGTACTGGGATTACAGGCCTGAGCTACCACGCCAGGGTCCTAGGTGCAGGTTTTGAATGTGTAATAGAAAATAATGCCAGAATTTCTGAGAAAGTGACAGTCTTTTAGAATCTATCTTACGCGTATGCAACATCACAGGGCCATCTTGTTAACTCCCGCTTTTCTGTCTGACCAGTAGTTCCCCAAACTGCACTTTCCCTAGCCCACGTTCAATGGGTACACTTGGGGATTGGTTTTTGACTCACTGCAGCTGGGTGACAAGGAGAACTAGGGAAGGCCTTGGGTTGGAGGTGATGGGGTGGAATGGTTAACAGCGTGAACTCCAGAGTCCCACTGTCCTGGGTGCAGGTCCCACCTCTGTCACAGACTAGTTCGGGAACCTTGAGCAAGTTCCTGACCACTATAAACCTTCCTTTCCTTAACCACAGCCTTGGGATAACAATTCCCATCACAGAGGGCTTCTGTAACAATTACGCAAGGTCATACATGTGAAATCCTTGGCACAGAGCCTGGGGTGCACAAACGGGAGAGGGTGCCTGGCTCATGTTCACCAAACCCTTTGACTTTCCTTTGCCTGATAACCTCAGAATGGTAGAATGATAGTACTAACATGAACAACAGAACAAGGGAATTGAGGTCTCAGGACTCCCTGAGGGTCATCTAGCAGGTTGGGTCACCTGGCAAGCAGCAGATGTGGGTTTAGAACTGAGGAATCCTGAACCTACATCCGCTATCTTTTCCACAAATCAGGCAACTTCCTTTGGGCTTTTTGCCCCTGTTCAATGTACCAATTTATAATCCTACTTGTCTCTGGAACTTGAATACTCCAGAGGAGAGCTAGCATTATTTAGCTCAGTCTCCAACATAACAGAGTGACCCAAGGGAACTTCCGTGTCATAATATACTTGGTGGTAAAGGATCCACGTTGGTTGTGTTGACTGTGGGGTACGGTGGGCCCTTGCATAAACAGATAAACTATGCTCTGGGTTTATTAGGTTTGTTAATACCTAAAGTCAGTTGGAGCACATCCATTTCTCCTAACTTGTCATTCATTCATTCCAGCCCAACCACTGGTCAATTTATAAAACTCCACCCATCTATCTGTCCCATCCATTCATCTGCCCAATCTTCTATCTGTTCATCCATCCAACTTTCACTTCCCTCATTCATCTAGGGAGTGTCTACTATTAGCCAAGTCCTGTGTGAGGCATCGGGAATGCAGAATAAATGAGGATATCTGTGAAAAGATTGACGATTCACCTTCCTTTGAAGAAGTTACCCTGTTGACAGAGCCGGGCCGTCACAAACAAAAGCTAAAAGCCCATCTTTCCATTTCTACTTTTACATACTCCGTGAAATTTTCCAAGTGTTGGTGTGATTAAGCAACTTGACAGTTTCATGAGAAGACAGACCTCTTTACCAGGTCCTAAACAATTTCATTTAGATCATAGAATGTTAGAGCGTATCACTGAGTTCAATCTTTTACAGATAAAGGAAGTAAGCTCAGAGAAGGAAAGCAACTCAGAGCGCAGACATCTTAGGCCTCCCAGAGTGCTGTGTGTAGAGACCAGGAATTCACAGGGTTCAAGTTGGCCGCTTTGGAGGGGTGGGGGCACACAAGGAGCCTGCTTTGGGAAACTCTGTGTAGAGTAGCAAGAAAGCAGCTCTGCTGAGTGACCTTTGACATGAAAGTGCCTGGGTTGTTTTCTGTTCCTTTGTGGAATGATTAGAACACGGAGAACCAAGATCCATGTTATCCAAAGGATGTGAGGCTCCCACTGACATAGGAGTGAGGCGCGATGGCACTGGTGGAGTTAGCTGATTGGGATTCGAATCCTAATGCTGCCACCTAGTTAGTACCTTTTAGGTTGGCCAAGTCACAGCTTCTGCGTCTGTTCCTTGAGTGGTAAAATGGTGATAGCACCGATCAGCTAGGGTGGCTGTGAGGAGCCGTGAGACATGTAGGTTCCCAGAACCGTGTACTAATGTTATTTATTGTTACTGTTGGTATCATTGTTTACGATTAGGTTCCCTACAACACCAGAGATGTGGGGTGGGCACCTTTGTGTGTATAGAGTTCTCAGAGGGTTTGAAGATCAAGAAGGACTCACGTCTTTGGGGTGTGCAGACCCGGAACATACAATCTACTCTGAATTGGGCTCCACCCACCTGGCGGTGTGTCTACAGTAATGTCAGCATGGAGCTATGAATGATCTCACGAATGCTATATTAACAATTTGTTTAGAAACGTGGGTAGACCTCTCTGGCTGCAGGTTTTCAGTCCTTTCGATTAGTGCTGTGGGCGCGCATGTCTGAAAAAAATCAGTGAGGAACATTTTCCTCCAAGGCGTTCGGATTTTAAAGGCGCAATACTATGGATTAGCCACATGGGGGCACGGAGCTCTAATTTTTCCTGAAATTGAACAAGCCCGTTCATCCTAAGCATTAGAAATTGTAAGCCTTAGACATATTAGTAATAGCGAAGACACTGAGAAAAAACAAAGAATGTTCCCAACATATTTCACATGGACAGTGTCACAAATGAACAAAGTATGTTTGTTTTTAAAAGGTGATCATGCAGATTTGTGCTCTGGCTGTAACACCCAACCCTGGCGGCATGTTACAAACCTCTGGGGGGGAAGGCTTTAAAAAATAGTACGGATTCTGTGGAACCCCACCCATCTG